CAACCTTATCTCCTGCTGGGCTCCAGCTTGACTCCACTGTTCTACACTGGCATGTCTGTGCCCTCTCCCCCAACCCACAGGCTCACTCCCAGTGCCCAGCCTTCTATCTCTTGTTCCCACGACCTAGAATGTCCTGTTTTCCCCTTTGTGCCTACTCGAAGCTGCGTGAGGTTCACAGGACACAGCTCAGCCTTCCCTCTCCCACGAGGCCCTACCAGTCTCATGTCACCCTAGGTTCCTCACACCAGTCACACACTGGGGCACTGCGCATACACAGTTATTCACCAGATCATGGGGTCAAGCCCGCTGACTCAAAGCTCTACACTTGACACCTGAGCTGAATATTTGCTTCATATGGTATCGTACACAGGGGTGGGCAAAAGTAGGTTAAGTTACCAGCCATCATTACCTAAAAGATAAATCACAAGTATATGAAACAATAAGACAAATAATACAAATAAATAATACAGCAATAAATAAATACTAATATAAGAATAAACTGTTTTGCATACTCACAACTTTTGCCTACCCCTGTATCTGGAGACTTTCCCGTTACATGTTGTGTCAAGACTTGGGGCAAAAACTGCTTTCCACGGACAAAATGAAAGGCAGATGATGTTTATCATTGGTGTTTTCTAATAGAGCTCCCGCCCCCGCAAGTTATTCTGATATATGTAAGGTTATATGTATATGTAACCTTACCACTCTTTTTTTCCTATTATTTTTTCTTTCCATTATGAAAATAATAATGACAATAGACATATTACTGTGTGCCAGATACTTTTCAAAGTGCTTCATGAGTATTAACTAATTTAGTCTTCCTAACAAGACTTTGTAGTAGGTACTTATTATTACTCTCTTTTACAGATGAGCAGACTTCGTCACAGAGAGGTTAAGAAACTTGCCTAAGGTCACACAGCTGGTATTCAAAGCCAGGTATTTAATTATGCTATACTGCCTCACCAATAAAATAATGTATTGGTTTTTCTGATGGTGAAAGTAATGCCTGTGAAGTGTTTTCAAAATCAGAAAATAAGACATAAGCACCACACAGCCATGGTAAATGGACAGCAAAACATGTAATAATTTGTTGTAAAATGAGCATGAGTTCCAAGTTCTAATGCTAACAATGCGGGGGCTGGATCACAGGGCTGAGGCTGTGCAGGCGAGGCCCCAACACATAAGTCCGTTCTTACCACACGTCCAAGGGGGAAGAGACGGAAGGCAGGGAGCAAGAACATGCACCTGCTCTGAAAAGGCAAAAAACAAAGTATAAGGAGAGTATCATCCATAATCCTATAAACCAGGGAAAATTAAAAACCTACTCAAGCAGATATAAATACACATTAGTTCCTGTTTCACAAATGGAAACATACTGTATATCATGGGATTTTTTTGTCCTTAATTCAAAATTTTAAATAGATTTGTTGAGATAAAATTTATATACCATTAAATTCCCTTGTTTTCATCAAATAATTTTATTTGCAGTACAGAGTTCTGCAAGCATTACCACAATCCTATTTTAGACTGCATCACCCCCGAGAAGATCCCTTATACTCATTTGCACTCATTCTGCATTCCCAACAGTACCCCCTAGTAACTAAGAATTGTTTTATGGACATTTTATATAAATGGAAACATACAATATGTGGTATTTTGAATCTGGCTTCTTTTACTTAGCATGATATAGTCAACATTCATTCTTGCTGTTGCACATATCACTTCTTTACCCCTTGTGATGGATGAATAATATTCCATTGTCTGTGTATACCAATCACATTTGGCCTATTCATTCAACAGTTGATGGACATTTGGATTGTTTCAAATGAGCAATGTTGCTATGGTTATTCATGTACAAATGTTTGTGTGAACATGATGTTATTTCTCTGTGGTAGACATCTAGGAGTGGAATTGTTGGGTCATATGATAAAGTCTCTAAAATGGCTGTGCCATTTTACATTTCCACAAACAATGTATGAGAATTCTAGTTTCTCCACATCCTAGCCAATACTTGCTACTGTTTGTTTTTGATTATAGCCATCCCAGTGAGTGTGAAGTGCTATGTTGTTGTTGCTTTGACTTGCATGTCCCTAATGACTAATAATACTGAGCATCTTCCCATGTGCTTATTGACCAAATACTTTCTTTGATGCTATGTTTATTAAAAATTTTGCTCATATTTCAATTGGGTTGCATTATTATTGTATTATATACTCCCAGAGTTCTTTATATACTAGATATAAGATCCTTTATTATAATCTATATTTATATAATAGAAATATATTTCAATATATTTATATAAATATATAGTATTTAATGTTAAATATATTTATATTATAAATATATTTTAATGTGTTTAATATATACACATATATAAAATATTTATATATATAATAAAGGATCTTGTATCTAGGGTATAAAGAACTCTGAGAGTGTACTTTATATATAAAGTACATATTTGGAAATCATATATATATATTTTTTTTTTCCTCACAGTTTGTGCCTTATCTTTTCACTTTCTTAATGGTATCTTTAGAAGCATAAAGGTTTGGAATTTTGATGTAGTCAATCTGTCAGTTTTTTCTTTTATCACTTGGGCTTTTGGTATCGTATCTAAGAAGTCTTTGTGTAAGTCTGCATTGTTTTAGAACCAACCTGCCCCCATTGCCCACTTGTCAGTTTGTCTTGGACATCTTTGTACCTCAATAATTACAGATTTGCATCATCATCCTTCCTGGCTTTGATTTTTGGAAAGAGGAGAGGAAAGAAAGGAAACAATAGGGCCAGACTAGTCCAAATATCCAGGACAACTCTGTTCATCCTCGGGGCACTCCTACTTTCATTTTGGACCATGTTGTGTCTGGCACCTCCTCTGTGGTTTGTGAATAAAAGCTTTATTAGACTATCAACTGTATCACAACATTTTGTTATAATACCTTGGTCACATAGATTCCTAGTCCCCAATTTTCTATAGACCTAAATTCCTCCATCATAGATTCTAGTGGTTGGGTGCTCATAAGAAACATGTGTCCCCCTAGAATTGAGATTTGAGAGCCACTGCTTCCAGCATCTACTTCATTCTCTAAATCTGACTGAGCCTTGGGAATGACTTAGGTCTAGTTACTGTATTAAAATGTAAATATGGAAAAACAAAAGTAAATTGTGGATAACAACAATTGGCACATTGGTTTTAATGGAAGACTTAGAGATATTTCTGAACAAAATAGTGGTTATCATTTAACAGGTTCCAGAATGAGATGAACCATTGCACCCTGCCCTCTATCAGGAGTGGAGCTTCACTGGCTTGATGGGTAGGATACCAGGTATTGTGTAAAGCTGGGAGCTTCTTCAGGAACTAATTTCAGACAGAGAACACTAATGGGGAAAATCCAGGGAGGGAAAGAGCCTGTGAGAAGGGCCTCAGAATAAGAATGGGAAAGGCCAGATAGAGGATTTCAGAGCTCAGTGCTGAAAACGCTCATCTAAAGAGAGGGTCACTGGACAACCATTTTGATGAAAAACCAAGGTGGGATGGCTGTGTTCCTTTGTAGACCTAGCCCCCTAGGGTTGGAGTCCAGAATTTGGAACCTGAGCACTAACACTCAGGAAAAGCAAGGAGCATGGGGGAAAGATGTAAGGACAACCCCCTGGCTGGACAATGGCCACTGCAAGGTATGAAAGTGCCCTGAGCAAAGAGGTACATAAGGGCCAACAAGGAACTCCTCCAAGCTGGTAGGTAACTATATGAGGTTGAGAAATGTAGAGGGAAATCTTTCTAAGTCCTTTAAGCAGTAGCCTTAGGTCTTTAACTCTTGGGGTTTTTACATGGAAAACAAAACCAGGTCACTACAGGGGCCAGCTGCTGTGTGCATGGAATATACTGGAAGATAAAGAGACCAACTGGGAGCTACTGCAGAGATTCAGACATGAGGAGGGCTGGCCTTACATATGGATTTGCTGTGCAAGTACAGAGAGAGACAAACATGGGTGGGGGGAGGGGGAGGGTGGGGCAAATGGAGCAAGATGATCCAGGGTTTTTTGGAGGTATAATTATATACATACAGTAAAATGTAAAAATCTTAAGTATGGAATAAATTTTGATAAATGTCTGCATTTGTTCCCCCACCCCGAAGTTAGTTTGTTTTTTTTAAAGGCTGAGTTTCTCATGCCTGCAGATCCTAAGTGAAGCTGCCTCAAAAGGAAGAAGGTATATGAACCTTAGGGTGAGAAGCAACAAGGGCTGGAACTATAGATACGAAAGTTATCTAGAGCCAACAGATAGAAATCTTGTGAGCAAATGGACACAGGTGCAGGAAAGGGGAACTGGAGAAGGGAAAGGCCCAATTTTTGGAGGGCATGAGCCCCACACATTGAGAGTCTTATTTACCGGTGTAAGTGCAGAGACTTTTTTTCTGCAAGCCTTCACCCTCATAGTTAATTCTCTTAAGGAAGAAAGAAACCACTTTCCAAGTTGGCTTTTGGCAATGTCTGCCCTATGGAACTTGCGGAATGGCTTCATTGGGGGAAAGGAGCAGCAAGACCCCAGGGGGTGGCCCGCACCTCCTCCAAGCAACTTGCGCTAATATGATACAAAGCTTTGTTCCTGACTTGGGGAGCCCAGCTCCCTCCGTGCAGCAGCCTTGCAGCAATGCCATCAGTGTATGCAGCTTGTGCAAACTTACAAGAACAGGAGCATTGCGGTTCGAGTCAGGGGACGGTGGGCGTGGCCGCGCCCTCTCCCGCCCAAGCAGTCCCGGGAACATTCTTAAAAGTATCCAAAAGTTCTGCGCCGCGCGCGCCAAAAGAAAATATAAAAGGGCGCAACCCCCCACTGCTCTGGGCATTGCCTGTCCAGACTTCGTCACTCCGGCTGTACCTCCGGCTGCAGCGTACACGCTTGCGGGCCTTCTCGGGAGACTAGCCGTCGACTGGGTGCTTCTGCAGGGGTCTGAAGACCGGAGAGGCGACCAAAGAGCACTTGCACTTCTCTTTGGTGCACCATGCCCAACGATGATGCATTCAGCAAGCCCTCCGCACCGGCGGAGGCCCCCCACGCCCCCGGCGCACCACCGCAGGGCAAGGCCGGGGGCTTCGCCAAAGCGAGCGGGCAGCTACTCGGAACCTCGAGCTCCGGAGGCGGGGGCAGCGGCGGTGGCGGCTCAGGGGCATCTGGTCTGGGCGCGGGGAGCAAGAAGTCCCCACGGCTTCCCAAGTGCGCTCGATGCAGGAACCACGGCTACGCATCGCCACTCAAGGGCCACAAGCGCTTTTGCATGTGGCGCGACTGCCAGTGCAAGAAGTGCAACCTTATCGCGGAAAGACAGCGCGTGATGGCCGCGCAGGTGAGCGCCCCGGGACCAGGGTTAAGCCCTAAACATTGTCGGAAAAGTTGCTCCGACCTGACCCGCACCACGGGGCCGGGGTTTGGGAAGCAAGGGGAGGCAGAGTTACTTGTGGGCAGCCGCGGCACGCTCGCGCCCCGGGCTCCCAGCCACGCGCCGACACCGCGCTCGGAGGGGCTCGTCTCTGATCCCGCTGGCGGAGCAGGGTGGTATGGGGTTCGCTGGGCTCCGGAGGCCCTGGGATCCTGGATCCAGCCCTTTAGCAAACAGTTACAGAGTTCGCTCCCTCGGGAGGTCCCCCAAATTCCCAGAATCTCTGATTCCGCTTTCATAGCAAAGTTGCCGGGTTCGCTCAGGAGTCCCCGAGATCCAGGAACTCAATCTCCAGCGTGAGTTGGGGGTTTCGCTCTGCTGGGCTTGGGTCCCGGTATTTCCGCCCGCCTCTCTAGCGGAGTTGCGGAGTTGCTCCGTTCGCCCCTTTGGGGGTTCCGAGGGACCCCTGACTCCGCTCTAAGGAGAGAGCTGTGCTGAAACTCGAAGGGTGCCAGCTTGGGCTACCTGTTTTGGTGAAATCGAAATCCAGCTGGTTATGTAGATAACGTATTGGGCAGCGGTCTTTCTAGAAAAGTCGCTGTAACGGACGCCAGCATGGCGTGGCCGTCGCTGCGCGCTTGGCGCACTTTTCGTGTTCGCGCCGCGTTGGTGGTGGCTGAGCGCCTCAGCCATTTTGAGCGCTGCGGGAAGTTGATTAGCATTTTAAAACTTGCTCTAAGTTACACAAGTACAGATTGCTTTGTGTATACTTTTAAAACACACCTAAGAGGTTTTTTTTTAAAATTTATTTTACCAATATACGCAGTAGGAAAAATGCTGGGGTTTGAAGGTGTGCGTGTTCGTGTTTTTCTTTTTCCCCCCCGCTAAAGCGGCAGAAGCACGACAGTAATTTAACAACGGAAATTTGAAAAAGGAAATAGTTAATGTTGTTGGTATCCTAAAAAGATTTTTGGAAGAGAGTATTATACATTCTTTCCAGCTAAAACTTGTTTTATCCTTCTAAGGTCATTTTAAATGAAAAGATAACCCAAGAGGCATTTACCACCGTAGCATTTACCAACTCAAGAAGCTACTTTTAAGTAGGAATGTGTAAATATCCACTGAAAATTATTTCGATAAGAGCTTGAACAGGATTGCACAGATGCTTAAAGATTATATTTTTACGTGCATCCCTTTTAAAAAATGTGTTTTAAACTAGATATATTTTGGTTTCATAGTGTATGTAATCATGGAGATATAGGTTGTTTTTCTTGGCTTATAAATTCTTTAGCTTAATCTACAGTGGATGAAAAGCATAAACGAGTGTAGCATTAACATATATCACAGTGAGTTTACTAAAAAAACTTACGAACATTTAAATTGTATTTATAGTTAGAAAAATATTCTGAACATTTAGTCGTTGGTTTAAGGAGTGTAGAAAGTATGTTTGGGAGGGGAGTTTTCCTCAAAATGTAATAAAAATATTCAAGTAAGGCCATTAATTTTGAATAAGCTTTACTAGTAGGGGCACTAACTTCGGAGAAGGCTATTTGTTATGTTAAAAACAAAAACAACTCAGAATTACTTTCATAATGTGACACTTAAGTGTTTTCCACACCAGAAGGCTTGTGTTGTGCTAGATGAAGCCTTTCAAATTCATGTAATGGCCATTTTTTAGACTGTCTAAAATCGTTTGAAATTGATGTTCGATATAACTCTAAAATAATCGTCTTTTTAATCAATTGCCTCACTTTCCCTGTTTAAACAACATTTACTACAGACCCTTGAAAGGTCTTGGTTTATGGAGCATTTTGTGTGTTTTGTGCACGTATGTGGTTTGTGTAAATCAAGGTATAGGTAGGCATTGACATGCTTAACAGCTTTGTGGGTATTTTTAAATTATGTCTGATCAGATCCTTCCTATTTTGAGTCTAAACTTGATTGGTTAATAATAGACAATCCAAGATTTAAACTGAATTATTTTGTCTTCATTATTTAAGGATTCTTTTTGTAAGGTGGAGACTCTTATAAGGAGTAAAATGACTTTCAAATTAATCAGCTTTCTAAATTGGGACTACAACTTCCCCAAAACCATGTATAAATTGTAGTTTTGCTTCTGGTTTACCATTTTGATTTCAGCTTTTGGCCTGTGTTTGGGACTCTGAGGTACCAGTACCTTCTCATTTCATTATCACCAAGAGTCAGTTTAAACAAAAAGTCTCCCGTTTTTGGTTACATGTAGTCAACAAAATTACAATTTATTTTCTTTACACCTCTTTTTCCAACCTTTAACAATGTTATTTAAAAGAAGATATGTTGAAGTCGGACCATGGGAAGTTTCTTAGGTACAGTAGGTCCCTTCCATCTCCTCCATTCCTGCCTGGACTTCTCCAGAGACTTCAAAACCAGCGTCCAGCCCTTTTTCCCCACTACTTCTCCACACGCTCCCGCCACCTCAGAGAACAGAGCTCCACAGTGTATCTATCCTAAGCGGCTGAGGCCTTTGCTAACCACCCTGTTCCCTTGTTCTGCCCCTTCATCCTTACCTGCGCACGTCCTATTCAACCAATATTCAAGGCCCTGTTCCAGTTCCACCTCTGGCAGATTCTTACACTTAAAGTTATCTCTACGTCTGCCTCTGAATTTCTTCTGTAAGATTGATTGGTATGTATCTCTCCTGTCCTGGTTGCCACATTCTGCTTTGAGTTGCAGGTTTGCCTCCTCCTGTTTCTCCTTTTAAAAAATAGTACCTTGGGATCCAATCCAGTCTTGCTGGTTGCTGTTCCCAGTACAGTGACCTTGCACAAATTTGTGGAATGAAGGAGTGAAGGATTCCATTCTCCTGCCCTTCTAATTTATCTGTGCTGACTTCTTTTCAGGTGGGACTCCTCTACCATGCTTCCTGATTTTCCCTAGCCAACCTTATTTCCTTATAATTTACATATTAATTTGTTTAATGAGCATTTTTTGAGTGCCTATTGTGTCCCAGACACTGGCTCTAAACCATTTCTCAGCTTTGGCTGCACATCATAGTTACCTGGAAAAGAGATTCTCAAACCTCAGGCTGGAACTAATGAATTGTGTCTGGGGTGGGTGGGACCTCAGTGACCTTCTCAAGGCTGCACAAGTGATGCTTACAGTGTGCTGGAGGATGACCCGCTGCCCTGCGCTTCCAGGTGGCCCTGAGAAGGCAGCAGGCCCAGGAGGAGGAACTGGGGATCAGCCACCCCATCCCGCTGCCCACTGCGGCTGAGCTGCTTGTCAAGAGAGAGAACAGCGGCAGCAACCCATGCCTGATGACTGAGAGCAGCAGCTCCTCGCAGCCACCGCCACCGGTGAGCACTCCCACCACCACCACAGTGTCAGGTAAGCTGGTGGGGAGGGCGGGTTCACAGCGTGGGCTGGCTGGGAATGAGGGGAGAAGAAGGGCCATGGCTACAGAAACAGTCTTAGGACCGTCCTGGGCCACACATCACATTCAGAGCTTAGAGGATTTTCTTAAAGGATTCTTTCTCTGAAGGTCTGTTTTTGGCCGCCTCACAAAGGAGACGGCCATTATTCTAGAATTGGAAGTTCAACAGCCTTACTATTCCGTTGGTTATTAGCCAAGACTGAATCTGGACAGAGTCAGAATCACAGAGTGTCAGAGGAGTGAGATTTTCCAGATTTCATCTCAATCCACCCCTCCATTTTGGGGTCATTTTGGTGAGAGCTAAAGATCCTTGTTTTCTAGAACTAAACTTCCATTTCTCTGGCAAATAACTGCAATTCATTTGGGTCAAGTTTCAGTGGGCACTGGGGAGTGAGGGAAGGCATGCCCCTTTGGCTTAAATTCTCTCTCCCATGTACAGAAACTGTACCAGGGGTTACATGTATGTTAATTCACTTCATTTCATTCTCAGAAGTAGGAGGTGTTAGTCCTATTTTACACGTATGAAAACTGAGGTGTAGGAAGTTTAAGTGACTGGTTAAATCTACAGAACTAGAAAGTATCTGAATTGGTCCATCTGTTTCCAGAGCTCACTGTGCTCATGCACTGGGCCTCCAAATCACTTCAGGCGTCAGGGTGCACTGTCCAGTATGGAAACCCCTAACCACATAGGGCTATTTAAGAATAAATTAATTATGGTAAAAATCCATCCAAAGAAGATAAACAAATGGCAGGTAAGTATGTAAAAGATGCTAAACATCACTGATTATTAGGGAAAAACAAATCAAAATTACAATGAGATACTAACCAACACATTAGGATGGCTAATATTTTTTTAAAGATTTTATTTATTTATTTTGAGAGAGGGAAGGGAGGGAGAAAGAGAGAGAGAGAAACATCAATGTGCAGTTGCTGGGGGCTGTGGCCTGCAACCCAGGCATGTACCCTGACTGGGAATCGAACCTACGACACTTTGGTTAGCAGCCCGCACTCAATCCACTGAGCTACACTAGCCAGGTAGGATGGCTAATATTTTTTAAAAATGCAGAAAACAGTGAAGATACGGATAAATGGGAAACTTTTCCCTCTGTTGGTGGGAATGTAAAATGGTACAGCTGGTATGGAAAAGTGTGGAGGTGCCTCAAAATTGGAACTAGAATTACCATATGATGTAGCAATTCCTCTTCTGATTACATGCCCAAAAGAATTGTAAGGAGGATCTTGAGATATTTGTACACCCATGTTCATATCAGGGTTATTAATAATAGCTATATGTTGAAGCAACCCAGTGTCCATCAACAGATGAGTGGATAAGCAAAATGTGATAGATACATACAATGGAATATTCAGCCTTGGAAAGGAAGGAAATGCTGACACACACTACAAAATGGATGAATCTTGAGGACATAATGCTAAGTGAAATAACCAGTCACAAAAAAACAAATACTGTGTGATTCCACTTAACTCCTTAGAGTAGTCAAAATCACACAGACAGAAAGAAGTAGTTGTTAGGGACTGAGGGGAGGGGACAATGCAGAGTTATTGTAGAGGGTAGAGAGCAGTAATTTTCAACCTTTTTCATCTCGTGGCACAATTGAACTAATTACTAAAATTCTGCAGCACACCAAAAATATTTTCTTTTTGCTGATAGGACCAAAATTGGTATAATTTTGATTAATTCACACTGGACAGTTATTGTTGTATTGGCTGTTGTCATTTTTTATTTGACAGTCTAAGGGAAAAGAGGTCAGTGGTCAGTGCTTATGTCTAAATAGTCAGGTGTTACATGTTTTAAAGATTCTTGCACACCAGTTGAAAATCACTGGTAGAGAGTTTTGGTTTCACAAGGTGAAAAGAGCTATGGAAATGGATGGTGGTGATGATTGCACATTATAAATGTGTTTAGTACCACTGAACTGTGCACTTAAAAATGGTAAGGTTTATGTGTATTTTACCACAATAAAATAGAAAAAAAATTAAAATACTCAGTTCCTCAGTTGTACTAGCCACATTTCAAGTTGCTCAGTGGGCATATGGAGCTAAGGCATACCAGATTAGATAGTGTGCATTTCCATTCTCACAAAGGGGCATTTGATGGACCTGGTTTAGAACACAGGATCTCTAAGAAAATCCACCAAAGATCTGTGAAATCCTACTGGCAATAAATATACATATTATATACTTAATATAATTGCTGAGATTCACAGCATGTATACAGAGCCTGCTGAGGTTCCATGAAATAAAGCATTACAGCGTGGTACCTCTTCACTAATATTTCCATGAGTTACTCAGTTTGCTGTGCTTAATCACAGGGCTAAAGTTGCTCAGCTGCCGGTCATTAACTAGCTGTGTAACTTCTAACTCATCACTGAAGTTCTCTGGGCCTTTTGCTTCCTCTTCAAAAAAGGGGAGAGGGAGTCTTGGAGGGTTTCAGACATTTTGTGGATCTTGACATTATGAAGAAGAAGGTAAGCAGGCACCAAAGAAAATGGGTGACTGGTGGAACCGTAGTTTCTGCACTGCAGATAGGTGTGTCTGTCTTTGTCACTGTGTATTACTGGGACCATAGGTAATCTAGTTAACAAAGGGAATGGTATTATTTCCTTTTTGGCTTGGTTTCTCATATACTTATGACAGCTTCCAAACTTTCCTTTTTAGAGGAAAGGACGGATCATGTCACAAATATGATCTTTACACTTTGGGAATTTAAGCTTTGTCTAAAGTTAATTACCAAATACATATCTGGTCAGGGTTGATCTGGTGGATTTAGCTGGAGGGCGGAATGGAAACTGGGTGTGTCAGAGGAGTAGAGAGACGAATTATATTCACAAACATCTTAGGAGGTAGGAATCGTTCCCATTTCCCGATGAGGAAACCAGCAGTAAGGAAACTGTCTCAGAATAAAGCTGGGTGGAGCTAGAATTCAGTACAGGCCTGTCCAGTCCCAATGCCCATGGATTTTCCATTAACTGCCTGTGAAAAGAGGCTGTGGGAACAGTTGCCATGTTTTTTTGGAAAGGCAACTGTGCAATTGTGATTAGAGCCATAGTTTAATGCTCAGAAGGGATTTAGGGGTAATGGGCAATAAGAACAATGTTAGGGGCAAAAGTCTCAGTCATTGTCTGTTAGTATAGAAGGCTGAAGCTACTGGTCTCCACTGGGGAGAAAGGCAGGGAGAGTGATGGATAAATGCTGGGCATTTTGTAGGACACCACCAGTGGACTTGGTGTAGCCTGCTGTCCTGCATTCTGCCTTGGAGGAAGGGATGTCAGAGTTTGACTGTGTACCCCAAGACAGCGGAGCTTTAGATGGCAGAGCTTTAGAGAAGGATTTTAGGCCAGATGGAGTTCCAAATGACAAAGACATTCTCCCAGGGTATTTCGGAGTAGCATTAGGGACAATTACAAATAGAAGCAGTGAGAAATCAAGATGGAAAGGTCAGGGTCAAGGAGGATGTGACCAGACTCCCTTCTTTGCCTCTGGCTAATAGACTTTGGAGTCACTTTGGAGTCTTGAATCAACACTCAGAGGGAGGAGAATGTGGAATCCAACAGTGTGCTGTGCTCATGTGCTCAGGTGCGGGTGGCAGGCATCACTTTGGGGGCTTTCCCTGCTGAAGGTGATGAGCTCCTCCCTCACCTTCTCACCTTTGTGTGGCAGGAGCCTCAGATGCATTGTTATCACTCACGGAACTTCCACTAAAGCTCTTGAGTTGGGATCAGTCACTTTTGGAGTGGACTGGGATATGAGCAAGAGAAAAAACAGAAATGCTGATAGCATTAAACTATATTAATACTTGGAGGGAGAGGGAGAAAGGAAAGAGGGGGGTGATGAAATGAGAGAGAAAGAACCAGAGAAAGAGACAGACTGAGGGAGTGTTCTTTAAGTTTTATGCAGCACATGGTGCCTGACTTCTTAGCTTGTTGCTAACAAACATGCAGAGCTGTCAGATGAAGGGCTGCATTGTAGATCATTTGGTTCTGTGTATGTATCCTTTGTAAGTAAAGACCTGAATGTTATCACCCCTGGACCCTCCCTTCTGGAGCACCCTGGACTTACACACACACACACACACACTCTCTCTTACTCTCTCTCTCTCTCTTTCACACTCCCTCACATCAAACCATGTCCTGCTGTCTTGGGCTTTCCCTGGGCAGCCCAGCTTCCTGTGGCCCACTCTCTCTCACCTTTCCCCTGTTGGAAGGATCAGTCAGGTCTGTGTCTGATAATGGTGGGGCCCCCTCCTCACTTTTCTTTTTTATCAGTCATTCCACTTCTCGGGTGTTGGCGGGGAGAGAGAGGAGGCACACAAGGTAGGGGAATACTTTGTGTTGTGTGTGTATGTTCTAAGTGCTTAAATGCTTTACAAAGATGAAATGTGCTAGTTTGAAAATGGAGTAATGTACCCATGCACTTTTTACCAACTAGAAATGTGGCTGATAAATTAACAAAGATACTGAGTTTTTAAGTTAAGAAAATAAAGTATTTTTTTAAAAAATGGTATTTATTGAGGTGATATTGTTTAATAAAATAAAATTATATAGGTTTCAGGTGGACAGTTCTATGATACATCATCTCTGTGTTGTATTGTGTGTTCAACACTCCAAGTCAAATCTCCTTCCATCACCATTTATCCTCCATCACCCTCTTCTGCTCCCCCCACCCCTCTTTCCCTTGAGTAATCATCATGCTGTTGTCTCTATGAGTTGTTTTTCTTTTTTTGTGCTTAATCTACTCACCTATTTCAATCAGTCTCCCATCCCCCTTCTCCTCAGACAGCTGTCAGTCTGTTCTCTAGGAGTCTGTTTTAAAAATAAACTCTGTTTTAGAGCAGTTATAGGTTGACAGTAAACTTGTGAGGAAGGTATAGAGATTTCCCATGTATCCCCTGCTCGCCCCCCACACAGTTTTGCCTATTACCAGCACCCCTTCAGAG